ATTTCGTAAATTTCGACACATTTCATGAGTTAGGTCACGCACTGTAGTTCAATTTATTTGCAACTGGTTTTAACGACATAATGAATCCCGTTTTTTACTGCAGGATTCAGTTTCCATGTCTGTAATATTTGTATCGCTATTGTAAGCTCTCAGACTGTAGTCAGTATAATTTCCTATCTGTCTCAACCTCTGAAATGGCAGTTGTCTTCGAAATGATTTTCCTCGTCACTCGGAGGACCGCGTTTCCAGTCAAAATTTGTGTGTTTCATTCTATAGGTTTTTTTGCAGCCTTATGCGCGATTCTTTTAATGGCATCCTATTAGCCGATCTGCTGTAAATAGCGGACAAACACATGAAAGTATTAATGATAATCACGACTTCGTTAACAAAATCTACGCTTCATGATATTTTCCTCAAATTAGTGTTCAATTCGCGTAAATATGTCCTTTCTACTTCGTAACGATTCCTTTTAGACAGTGCTCAAAATAGAGGTAAGAACACATAGGATTAAAACGTATCATTACCTCGGCAAGAGGCCACACATAAAACTTCACAAGTGACGAATTTCGTAAAGAAGTGACCGCAAGTAAATCAAGGTTTCCTTTATAAGGGACTGATTTTGCACGACCTCAGGCCTGACTCGCATAAGTCTAAGGGCAGTTCTAGTTGATGACGGCGTTTGTACAAGCAGTTCTTGGTAAATAACAGTAAATCCACTGATCATGAATTTATTTAAATTAGTAGGTAGATCTTATCAATATTGGTACAATTTTGCAGATAAAAGGAGTGCTTCGCATTTGTTTTCGGAGGCTTTCTATGTTTAAACATCAGCATTGAATACGGTGGACCTGTATTTTTAAAAAAAAAGTTTGTAAACGCTAAATATATGCATAACTTTGCTAAGTTCTAAGCAAAACACCAAACAATTTAGGGAAACTACATTTGAGTTTAAATGATAAGCAGGCTGACTTGACAAATTTTAATGATTTTTCAGGCGCACTTCATGGTTGGCTAGGTACCATGGGGTTTTCCTGCAGCATGTCACATTGCCGGGGCAACATGTAGGCCTGATTCACTGGTCTGGCAAACTGATAACAATTGCGCAATATCGAAAAAAATCTATCTTGCATTAATTTAAATTGGCATTTCGACCCACGACCGCAATAGATCATAAATAGCATTTTTTGAGTATGCACGCCATAGAATTCCTTCTGGCGGAGGTCTCACGTGTAAGATTTGCAATTTCATCTATTATCCATCTATTAACCATCGAGTCTAAATGCTCAGTTCAATAAATTAAATGTTCCGGTACTCGACTCCTCTTCTTCACTTATGAGGCAGGCATGGATAAATATTCACACAATAAAATCATTCGAAGAACAGTTTGCCCAAGTATTGAAACAGGGTGTCATTTGCCAGTGCAACGTGAGCATCAGCGTGAATATTAAATAGGATGGACATGCATTACTTGTTCGAATGATGCAGCACATTAGGATTGATTCTTTGCTTAAAAGGCTGGAACAAACGAAAACTTCGTAAACAAACGCGGGAGAGAGAGAGAGTGAATGAAACTCAAGAATCGCCTACTCGTGAAGAAAACGTGGAAATTATAAGTGGGAATGCAGGAGTGCACTTCAGTGTTGTATAACGTTTTGTGTTAGGTGTCCTCAGAAGCAAACATCCTCGATCAATTGGTAGACGCTGAAGTAACAGTGCAAAAGACGTCGGCAGCTACTTTCCGAACGGCGCCTTACTATCCAGCATATGCACAGATTTCAGCATATTTTCAACCAAAAGATTCATACTTCCTCCAGATTCTGAACAGCTGCCGTTTATTGGGCCTAGACAATGAATAAAGCTAGCATGGAAATACGCCAGTTCAGGCAAGCATGAAAACGACATTGAGCAGAGCACGATTTTCTTTAATTAATGAATTTGTTCCAGTGGAGTGATCTATTAAGCATGATGTTTGGTGCAAAAGCCTCGTCTGTCATACATTCTGTCGATGTCAACATTGTTTGTGTCACTTAGAAACAGGTCAAGGCGGCCACAGGTGAAAACAGATCGTTGAAACAAGTTTCATGGAAGTTTGATTGGCAGCAGTTCACACGGTCATCCAGACTGACTAAAGCAGTAAGAAGGGCGCGCATATAGACTGTTCGGAAAAAAGTTCCAGAATGACTGGCAGGTAACTGACTTGGCTGGTTTTTGTACTTATTGGCGGTTGCAACGAGGTTAACTTGCAAATTCAAAATTCGTAACCTAATCAAAATCAATATAGTCTGATGCCGTCCCACTGTCTTGCACAAGAGTATGCCAGTTCGGCCACCGGACAGCCATCAAACCAAGTGAAGCAGCCTTCCATAAAAAGTTTGAAACTGTTAATGTTAATAATTAACATGCTGACTGCATCCTTTATAGACCGTTTTTGTGCATGACATGCTCTGGTGACGCCTTCAGGCAGGACTTTGAAGCGTCTTACCAATAGAAGTTTTGTCCCAGGAATTATGTCTTCTGGCAATTATTTTTATGGGCAGCACTCGCACTGAAAGCGTACAAACTGCAGAGTCATCATCACGCCAATACTGACAACGGATGAACGATTCGGCACTGACTGGCCAGCGCTGCCGCAGCAAATTCGACCCCAAAAATTGATCGCCATAGCTAATAGGCAAGTGGGACATGGCAACGAAGTTCTATAAATGTTTAATGATCTGCGCCAATGCGCCTATCTGCAACAGCCTCTCAATTTTAAATCAATTGATAATCCGAGACGTCAGGACAAAACGTTTCTTCTCTCTGAGACTTGAGAGAAATCTCAAAATCTATATTCTCCAGTAGTGAAATAGGGGAGAGTAAGGCTAGCGAAACCGGCCAAGGGTTAAGTAGGGGTAAGTGGGTAAAGGGAGGAGTTAACGGGTTAAGGTTAGTTTAGTACGATAAAGTTATTGCTGGAGGCAGGATTCCGGGTAGGTAAGAGTGTTAGCTTTACAGAATTAAGTTTATGGTTAGAGGGTCAGAGTTAGGGTTAGCGTAGGACTGTCTTTAATTTGTTCGTACATTTGTCATCCAAAGGAAAACTAGGACTTGAGGCCTAAATTGAAGGAGCTCGAGCAAATTTTCGGGCTTCAATGGCTTGTCCCTCTCCTCATACCTTCAGCCAGTGTTTGGTTCACAACATCTATCAGTGGTTGCTGTGGAGTGGAATTGAATAGCAAACGACATCAATGATAACATGGATCCGTCAAGCTATAACTTTAGGTAATTTACGCCCTCGAGGAATTGCTTCGCAGATGGTATTGCTTTTGGTGAGCCCTCGGCCAAAAAAGTTACAACGACCGAACATCCATCTTAGGCCTGGACAAGACAAAAGCAGAGTGGCCAACAACTCATGCCAATTCCATCAATATGCATTTGCACCTTCCAGCGGCCTACAAAGTCCCACGTCATTATGTCCGTAAATCTCAGGACCAAGTAAACATATTGGACTTAAGAAGGCCATATATAGACAGGCCGACGGGGAGGTTACTCGGAGAGGAAGAAGAACCACCTGAGTGACTGCCCGACGAAGGTTCAACCACCTCCCTTGACGAAGCGGTGACTCAAAAAGCACACAGATAAAAAGCCCGCCGACAATCCTTCGAGAGACCGAGACACTGAGAGGAGAGGAAAATCGGCCAGCATGGTGCAGACCAACTTGACATACCAATTAAGTTCCTAGTCGGTTAAGCGCATGCTACGTCATGACAATGGGGGCCGATTAAGCTCTTCGAAACCGCAGCACCCAAATAAGCCAGAACCGGTGAGCACATCTTTTTCTCCAAATTAATGCGGTAAATATTTGAAGCAAACCTACACTACGGGAAATTAGTAAGAATTATAGTCTGCTAGCACCTTGGTAGTTGACATCAGCAGTGTGCGTTGCAGTTATAAAGTTAATAAATTGAATGAACATTTCCTACTTAAATACCGGAGGTAGCGTCATGTTATTACCAAGTTGTTGACATTGGCAATCAAGACGGTTGAGGTCGTGTGGCATTGTGGCGCGCACTCCCATGTTGATCCAGCCTCCTCTTAAATGTATACACGGATCTAGTCATTAGCACGGAGAAGACCGCCACCCAATACAGCCACTCCCCATAATGCGCCACAAATCAACGTGAAAGGAATTTAGCGATAGGTGCTGGACAACTTCAGGTGTCTGGTAGCACCCTCCCCCGCAACACCAAAATTGACAATAATGTCGTCCGTCGGATCTCGAGGGCCAGTCAAGACATAGGCCGTCTTCACAGTTTGGAATCGTCACGGTCTTCAGCTCAGCACGAAATTAAATATGTAGAAGGCCGTCATCCACCAACGCTACTGCATGGAGCAGCAACTCGGACGGTGTGCGCGAAGCAGGCACGTCGACTCAATTACTTCCACCTCAGTTGTCTTCGTCACATATTGGAGCTAGGTTGGCTGGACCGAATCCCGAACATGGACGTAATGGAGCGAACGGGAACCCTCAGCATCTACACCATGCTGAGACAACTGAAACTGCGTTCGAGCGGCCATCTCGTGCGGAAGGGGCCACGAGCGTCTCCCTAAAAGGCTATTCTATGGAGGTGTCGCCACGGGTCCCGGCAGCAGAGCAGGCCAAATCGGCCGATACAAGGATACTATTATGTCCTCCCTTAAACGCCTGTAAATCAGTCCGGCCAAATATGTAGACCTCGCCCGAGACCGACCGACATGGACGAGGACAGTGAAGTCGGGCGCTGTGATCTACCAGGCCAACCGCATTGCCGACGCAAAAGCCAAACGCGAAGCAAGCAAGTCTCAGCTGCACCTAAATCGCAATTCCAACGCACAACCACGTTCGACGTATCCACAATGCCAATGGACATTCCGGGCGCCGATTAAACTTGGGTCAACTGCACCACTCGGACCGCACCTACTGCCGCCACTCCGTCCACCTCTTCCTCGTTCTCTACGCCGCCACCTAACTCTGACCACCTTCATGAACCGCCACTACCATCCTCCTCCTCCTCCTTCTCCTTTCCCTCCTGCTCATCTCCCTCCTCCTCCCCTTCCACCACCCCAACGGCTGCCGTTTTGGCGCCTGCCAGGCACACCAATACTCACACAGTACTGACACAACAACAAACATCAACCTACCTCTCCCGGCACCAGTGGTGAGGACCAGGACTACACCTGTCCTCACTGCGACCGCACTTTCACCTCACTCATCAGCCAGGTCGGTCACTTGTGAATGAGTCGCGTGAGGACTGGCGAACCAGTGCATGGAACACCAACCTACACCAGCCGCACCCACCTACATTGTATACACTGTCCTCGCACGTCCGCGCATTGCACGGGCCTATCCGGCCACTTGCGTGTCCACGAGTGCGGAAACGACCGCAGTCCCGACACACCCACCACACCCAGCACACCAACCATGTCCAGCCTCCCCCTCACTCCGTCACCCTCTTCGCCAATCGCCACCGCCACCACGACCACCACCACCACGGTCTCCTTTACTGACTCCAGCACCACCGAGTTCTCATGCCCGCATTGTCCACGCACATTCGTCTCAAGCATCGGCCTGGTTGGTCACGTGTGAATCCATAGCACAGAGACTGGCGAACCAGTGCCTGAAACACCCACCTACACCCACCGCATCCGCTTCCACTGCTTGCACTGCCCATTCACATTCATGCACCTCATGGGCCTATTCGGCAATGTGCGCATCCACGAAAACCTGCGGTAGACAACCGCAGGCTTCACCATCTATTACATCCTCACTCATCACCATCACAACGTACATCAACATCACACACCGCAAGAACCCAACTGCCACCTCCCACGCAGGTGGGACGTGTGTGTCTCGGCTCGGACTTCATGCGGCTCCTGTCGCAAGGGTGACTCGAGTCTGAGACTACACCGAAGCGTCAAGCGTCGCTTATTGGAAGGCTGCTGACTGACGCCCCAAGTCAGTCCACGCAGTCCATCCAGTTGTATGTATGTGTAGAATGGCGGACTGATGGACTGAGAGCTGGGTTGAAGCAGCTAATTTGTTTATTGTCCTGAGCTTTCAGACTCGTCCATCGTCAGAGGTAATAGCAGCAGCACAACAAGCAACAGTGATAAGGCATGTAGGCCAATCATCGACCGACGGCACAAGACTGGAGGTGACTACGCACGGCTCTGTACGCCGTAGTTAGATCGATAAATCGATTGACGAAGTTCACATCCGAGGCCCAGGCTCCAATCAATTCTCGACCTGTTTTGCTTTCGGCGTGGGCGACTGTTTTGTTGGCTTCGAAGTTAAACTCCTGACCCATTTCGTAGGTGTGAGCAACTCCTTCCACGGCACTCTCACGCATGTGAGAGATACGTTGCCCTACCCTCGTTATGTGAAATCTTGGTGTTTGTGTTTGAGTGACCAGGTCGTGCACGCTGCGGTCGCAGACACGGTCATTAGACAATGTCAGTCACCGGGCCCGTTCCCCGCACCTGTCAAATGACCGCCTCGGACGGTGCATGGGGCTTGAGAATGGAAAGGGAGAGTGAGGTCGACGACTCAGTGCATTCGTCCCGCTACAAACAATCTGACATGCTGTCAAGGTACGCTAAAAGCCGTGGCTTGGAAGGCTGCCAGCTGGAGAGTTAACTTGGGCCACTCAGTCGGGATCCGAGCTGGCGTGGGCGGCAGACCTAGATGCGGCTTCGGCCATGCCAGCCTCCATCCTTCGTGCTGTAGTTGGTCAAAATCTTGGTCATATGCTGTGCGGACCAGGGGGTGCGGAGTGGAGCACCAAAATCGTGTCATCCACCTGCGCCCTCCTACGTCTCCGCATCCAAGACCATCAACTGGCAGTTAAGAGGTGAGAACACTTATCTCAAATGGCCATGCACACTCCTGATTCTGGACACACTTTCGCATGTGACAAAGCTCGCTTCGTCGGAGTTCGCCCATCTGAAAAGGCCGAGATTTTCTTAAAGCCATGCACTCCGATGAGTCATGCATCAACTCGCATATCGAGTTAGATGCCACGTAGGAAAGTCTCTGGGACAAGTGAACAGACTAAAGCCGATCAATAGAGACTGACGCACAAGACGGCCGCTTACTGGCTGAAGCACCAAATGCATATTGATTTTGGAGCACGCTAGAAATGTTAATGGATTTTTGCACATTTAATCAAAGCGAAACACGAAAGGTCGGTGCCTGTCACTTCAAGAAAGAGCGAGAGTTGCTTGAGGCCATGCACTAGGATGAATCGTGCATCAACCGTCATATAGTGTTGGACGGTCTCATGGAGAAATGGAAGACACGAGAGCAAATCGGAACAGAATGATGCAGATTGCGACCGCTCACAGGCGTAACTGCGACACCTTTGCAATCTTACTCGAGACGCGAAAGACTACTTTAAAAGGCAATTGGACTCGGTCATCCCACAAATTCAGTTGACCATGGACGACGAAAAATACGGAGTGCTCCCTTTCCTCGAAGTTCAGGTAACGAGGCAAGAAGACGGAACCCTCCAGTCTGGTATCCTTCGAAAAGCGACAAACACGGAGAAAATTCTTCACTACACCGGCAACCAATCCCTGTCGCATAAACGCAGCTGCGTCCGGACCCTTTTTCGCCGCATCAACCCACACTGCAGCGCAGAAGCCGAGAAGCTGTGGGAGCGTGAAACCCTGTGTCACCTCTTCCTTGCCAATGGATATCCGCGCTGTTTTGTAAACAAATGCTTTTACCAAAGACATACGAGTGCCGACCGCGAGAACACGCAAAGACCTGAAATCTTCCGCGTGCTGCTTTACGTGAGAAACGTCTTCGAAGCCACTGAGCGCATGCTAAGGCCACTAAGCGTAGGCGTTGGACACCGACCGGAGGCCACCATCCGTCGCTTACTCATGCAAACCAAGGGGCGGCTACCACCTGCAGACACGTCAGGCGTCATTTACCGATTCAACTCCCTAGACGGTCTTGTCAATTACTGTGGCATGACGGACAAACGACTGCGCACGCGCGTGCATGAGCACGCTCTAGTCGTATAGCGAAAGGATGTGCGCTCGCACGTCGCCATGCACAGTCTACAAAATTATCACGTGTTCGACTTTGACGGCGCCCAAGTGCTCGGCCGAGCGGAAAGCAAGCTGACGAGAGAAGTAATCGAAGCCTGGCAATCAGACGCCAACTCGTTCAACCGCAGTTTTGACCTACCAGCGCCATACGAGGACATCAGGCACCACTTGCGCGAGAGAGGAGGGCCAATAAGAGGAGAGCGGGATTGACCTATCAGGTGCGAGCGCGAATGGCCTATTTATCCCATGTATTTCTCATTTGGCCTGTCTCCGATGATGTGCTCGAGTATGAAAGCGAAACGTCAGACGAATGAACTTTCTTCCCAAGAGATTGCCTCATATTGCCCTTCCATCTTCTTTTCCGGGGTCAGAATTTTTCGCTTATATCCATGAGACTTCCGGGCGCGAAGCGCTTAGTCGAGCACGGCACTGGGAGTTATTTTCCTGTCGACAGGGGTTTACATGGTAACAAATGGCCTTTCCTTACAACTGTCTGATGTCGGACATTACGCCGAGGAGCGTTTCTGTAAGACCTTCAGTCAGAACTGACTTCGGCCCGAGGTCGCCAGGAGATGCAGCCGAGGCCTACTAAGGACCCTCATCAACGTCTGCGCAAGTACGGCAGGAAAATCGAAAGGGATAAAGCGGCATGTGCAGCATACCTAGACGAGCAAACAATGCGAAACCTGGAGAGCTGGATCTTGATTCAGGTGAACGTGGAACGAGACAAGAAGAAGACCCAATTCCTCAACAAAGTGCGTAACCTAAAACAAACACAGGCACCCGTGCGCGAACCGTCAGCCGTCCACAACCTGTCATCTAAACAGCTGACAGACGACCAAATTAAAGTGCTTCAACATGAATCCGGCTACAACACAGGAGACGCACAGCCAGTAGGTTTTATCGCTGCACTAGAAGTGGCACTTTCACAAACAGATGCCTCAGATGACTCCAAGAACGCGATTCGTCAACGAGTCGCATCCCTCATCATATCCCATAGGCCACACCGAACCATCACCTCAGCAGAGCTCAAGGCCATAAGGAAATTAAAGAAAGACGATGAAATTGTCATTTTCCCAGCGGCAAAGTGCAGGCAACCGTAGTCCTCGACAAGTCAGAGTACGTAACGAAAGCCCAACGACAACCAGTCATGTAAAGTCGTTGACACCGACCACATGAAAACACTGGTAGGCAAAATCAATAAGAGCCTGAACCAAATGAGGAACCAAAAGGCAGTATCCGAATGGGAATTGAGACAGATGGCAAGCTACTGCCCTAGCGCGTTTCTATAGTTTACCGAAAATCCACAAGCCAAATGTTCCCCTACGACCCATTGTGCCGCTGAAAGGCACGCCTACTACGAACTGGCTAAATGGCTAGCTAAGCATTTAAAGAGGCTGGCGGACGGCTCAGGACACACAGCCGTATCTTTAGCACACTACCTGATCAGGCCTTGTACGCAGCGCCTTCTAGGCGGGATGTAGATCTATAGCTCAATTGCATGTACCAGTCGAGGACCAACTTTGGAGCACCAGGCTGGCCATCTTCTAATTGGCTCCAACAATTGCCCTCGCTTTTTCAAGGGCAACATCGTGGTTCAGTTCTCGTATGTGGCTATAGATTAAAGACAGCTTGTCCTGGCAGTAGATTGCAAGTTGGTGTTCGTGCAATCCTGTACTGAGGCGTTTACCCGTTTCACTAACATACCTTGCATTGCAATTAAGGCATGGTATGTTATAGACCACTGCCAACTGTTTTGTTGTTGACAGCGGGTCTTTGGGCTTCATGATTTGCTGTCTGATTGTGCATTCTGGTTTATGAGCCACGCCAATCCCAAAAGGTTTCAGGATTCTTGCCGTTGCCTCTGAAACGTTCTTCACATAGGGTATTGAGAGCCAGAACTTGGGCTTTTCTCCACTCGACCGCTCAAAATGAGGCTTTTTGAGGCAATTGCGTATGAAGGACTTCGGGTAGCCGTTGGCTTTGAAAAGGGCGTGTAAGTAATTCACCTCCTCCTTCCTCCCACTGTCGTCGCTACAGTGTGTTTGAACACGTTGAAAGAGAGATCTGACACAACTGCGTTTATGACCAACAGGGTGGTTGCTTCGGAAGTGGAGGATGCGCCTGGTATTTGTTGCCTTACGGTAAACCGTTGTCCTTATCTTCCCGCCTGTCAATCTCGTAACTTGTACGTTGTTATGACCCGCCTGGTACTTGAAATCCCCTGGAGCGTGTATGCGTTCGACCCTGGTTCCCAATCAAGGCAGCAGACAAAGAACACACGTCTGGCCACGGAACGTGTATTAGCAAAACACGTTTCAGCAAGTCACGTCTAGCTAAGGGTGACGCATATTTATCACACGCTAGCGTGGTTCGCCGGCACTCGGTCCAATGACCTTCGGGAAGAGGGGAGCAGCCAATGGGAAAGCGCCTGATTGAGATGACAGTGCGGTAGAGAGAGAGAGCAAACGCACGTGATCTCCATTGATTGGTCTGCTCTTGTTTTTGGGAGTGTAGGCACTCCCAACATACGTCCAGGAAGGGCAACTGATTGTTGACTTCCTCTTCCATAGTAAACTGAATATCGGGAAAGATGGAGTTCAACAATGCCTTGAAAGCCTTCACCTCGCTTCTCTTGATTACAACGAACGTGTCGTCGACGTATCTGGCCCAGAACTTCGGGGGGTACGAGCTGAAGACCTGCTGCTCGAGTCTCTGCGAAACTGCTTCGGCAATTAGTCCAGACAGAGGCGAGCCCATTGGTGTCCCCTTCTTTTGCTCGTAGACTTGGCCGTTGAATGTAAAGAAGGTCTTAAGACACAGTTCTAGGAGCTCGATGATGTGTGCTCGTTTGAGCTGTTGGTCGGTTTCATCATACTTTTCCCGGAGAAACCCATCAATAGTGTCGATAGCCAGCGCGGGTGGGATGGAGGTGAATAATGAGATCACGTCAAATGACACCATCACCTCATCTGCCTTCACTTCGAGATGTTTGATGCGCGTCAATAACTCTTCAGTTGACTTCACTGTCCACTGCGAATCCTTGGCAAGGAAACAAAGTCGCTGGTACAGCCACTGTGACAGCCCAAAGGTTGGAGTACCACGTAAGGAGACGATGGGGCGTAGCGGTACCCCCTGCTTGTGGACCTTTGGTAGGCCGTAGAAGCGCGCCATCGCGGTATCACTGGCTTTTGCGGCCAACGCCTCCCTTCTCATAAGAGCTCCCGCCTTCCTCAGCTTGCCGATCGTATTGTTTATGCTGTTTACGAGCTTTTTAAACTCGCTGACGGTCGATGGCACATAAGTTTCCTTGTCCATCAAGAGGTTGCCTAGTTTTGTGCAGTACTCAGCCTTATCCATGACGACAGTCGAGCGCCCCTTGTCGACGGGCAGGGTGACGATATCCTTCCTTTTTCGTATCTTCAGAAGTTCTCGATCTTCTGCATTAGAAATCGTCATCTGGCGTTTGTGTTGGAGGAGTTAGGTCGACACTTGTTATCGCATGGCGTTTTTGCACTCCTCGCCTGCCTCACACTTCTGGAGCGCCGATTCAAAGGATGCAATAAAGTCTTCTTGTAGAGCATCTCTTGTGTTGAACTTCACGTCATAGGATAGAACCGCTAGTTGTTGCTGAGTGAAACGATGAGAGGACAAGTTGTGAACCAAGGCACCGTCAGTAGAGGGCTGCTTTGGCGGACTTATTTTCTCAAATTTTCCAGACAACTGGTCATCACGCAACTTGCGGTGACGCCGTGCGCTGTCGAGAATTGCCGCTTTGAGGACCTCTAGCTCGTGTGTCGTAAAGATCGACTGGAAAGTTGACGAATGATGTTCAATTATCTGGCGGTACTTGTGGATGCGGGCGTGGTAGTCTCGTATCAGTACCCTGATCAGTTTCTTCTTGACGTCTGCCATCGCCCGTTGGTAAAGGTCAATGTTCAAAGGCGGTCTTTATCTGAGGCATTTCGGTAGGACATCCTCATCAAGGAACGTTTGCAGGAATTTCAGCTGAACTTAGGCGGAGGACTCTCGCTTCGTGAAGGTCTCTCGTTTTCGTGCTGAGCAGAGGGCTGTGCGCCGATAGTATACATCAATATTCGTAAAGATTGGAGGTCAAGATATTGTATCGCGTTCATCATCTCCAGAAGAAGACGAAGAAGAAAATAGGGCGAATTCATGGACGATATTGTATTCGTATAGAATCTGGTCCATGAGTTCGTTGAAGGCAGAGACGTCCTTTGGGAAAAGGTACTTTATTGAGTTAATTTTTATACCGGTTCCCCAGGTCGTCGTCAGAAGCAGACTAAGAGTAAATGTGCCGGCAACAGTTAACATCTGGCAGTGCACATAAAAAATCAATAATCGTTCGTGTTTGCGCCCGTGAGCGGCCGCTATTTGCGCCATTCCGTCCCGATTAGCTCTCGTCTCTTCCAGTTCTCCTTGAGACTTTTGTACGCGGCGTCCAACTCGATATGACGGTTGATGCACGATTCATTCGTGTGCATCCCCTCAAGGAACTCTCGGCCTTACTTGAAGGGGCAGACACCGACACGTCTTGTTCTGTCCCAAGCAAACGTACGACCCGTATCCAGGGTATGCATGTCTACTTGAGACAGGTGGTTTCGCCTCTTTACTGCAAGCTGGTGTTAATGAATGCGTGTAGAGGCGGATTTCCCTGTTTGACCACAATAAACTGCATCACAGCCCTCACAGAGAATCTTGCAGACGACTTCCTTTCTATCCAAATAGCCGACCCTATCCTTAGGGTGTACTATCTGCATACGTAGTGTAGTCATTGGTCTGTGTGCCGTCAGAATTTGGCGCCTCTTTAGGTGCCTTTTCACGAGAGTTTCTTGAGACAATGCACGCGAATGAATCGTGCATCAACCGTCATATCGAGTTGGGCAACGCGTACGAAACACTCAAGCAGAACTGAAAGAGACGAGAGCTAATCGGGACGGAATGGCGCAAATAGCGGCCACTCACGGGCGCAAACACGAACGATTATCGATTTTTTATGTGCACTGCCAGATGTTAACTGTTGCCGGCACATTTACTCTCTGTCTGCGTCTGACGACGACCTGAGGAACCGGTGTCAAAAATTCACGCAATAAAGTACCTTTTCCCAAAGAACGCCTCTGCCTTCAACTTATATTTTTATGGATGCTTACCTTCATATATATATATATATATATTGATAAAGAGAACGCTCTTCGGAATAATCGAGTTGTACTCGTAAATTTTCAAGTCAGTGACACCGACTCGTCGTCTGACGAAATGAACTGAGGGAAAAGTGAAATCGGCAGACCAGGTCGGCTGGCGCGACAGGACAGACGACAGTTCGACCGTCGATTTCGACGATGTCCACCGTGTGCCCCACAGCTGCAGCAGCGGTGGGAGCAGGGACGGTGACTTACGCAGGGGTTTATATTGCCGGTAGACTTGCGTAGCATCTACCTACACTCTCCCCTCCTCCCCCGCCTGGACCCGGTGTCAAGACAGAGTCAAGAAGATCGGAGACGAGGGAGGCCGCAGGTGGATGGCTCGGACGGATCCTCACCTTGGCGTTCCACCACACCCCCTGGTCCACACAGCAATAACCAGGATTTCAACCAACACAACAGAGATTTGGAGGCTGGCACGGCCGAAGCCGCATCTGGGCGTGCCGCCAACGCCTGGCTCGGATCCCACACTGTGGTGGGAATGCCATAAAGGCCACATTAAAAAGGAGCCATTGCAGCCTGACTCTCAGACCGCCTCCAGTGAAGGAGGAGGTCCAAGGTACCCCGTCAGTTGGCAACCTTCCGAGCCACGGCTTTAAGCGCTCCGTGATAGCTTCAAGCGCGTCAGATTGTTTATAGGGAGGAGAAGGTGCGTTGAGTCGTCGACCTCACTCTCCCTTCCCATTCCCACACCCCAGCCGCTGTCCGAGCCGGTCAGCAGACTGGAGTGGGAAATGGGCGCGGTGGCTGACATGGTCGACTGACCATGCCTGCGCGCGCCACAGCACGACCTGGCCCCCCATACACACACAAACACCAGGATTTCACACAACGGGGGTTGAACGGCGTGTCTCTCACTTGCGTGAGAGGGCCGTGGAAGTTGCTACATTGGCCCGTCCCCAGCCCACCAATCCGCCACTACACACAACACACACGCAACATGACGAACTGCGTGAACCGAGAGCAGACCTCAATCAGCAACCTTCCTATCCACGACGCTTGACGTGTCGGGATAGTCTCGGACACAAGTCACCCGTGCAACCGAAGCCGCATGGGGACCGAGTCGAGATGCACACTTCCCACTTACGTGGGAGCCGGCAGTTGAGTGCATGAGGTGGGTGAGTGTGGCTGTATGTTGTTGATGGTGGAGGAGGGTAGAGAGTGTGTGAATCTGTGGTGCAACCGGCGGTTGTCTACCGCAGGTCGTCGTGGATGCGCATGTGGCCGAAGAGGCCCATGCGATGCCTGAAGGTGCGAGGACAGTGTGGGCAGTTGAGACGGGCTTGATGAGTATAGCTTGGTGCTCCAGCCACTGGTTCGCCAGTCTCTGTGCGATGGATTCGCAAGTGACCGACCAGGCCGATGCGTGAGGTGAAGGTGCGTGGGCAGTATG